TACACTATTAATCACACCTTTACAGACAGCCTATTCCAATGACTGAATACTGAAACCTTTCCTTTATCCCTCATTACTCTAAAATCCTTCATCATATTTAACCTAAAATTTAATTTTCTCCCCTTTAAAACGTTTTCAATTTATGAACTAAACACAATTTACTTTTGTTGCCAATGCTTTTCTGTTTGATATTCACCTGAATTCATTATTTAGTGAATAAGCCCCTGTGGGTGCAAACTAGCAGTGATAGAGTTGAAAGAGCAGTAGATAATTACACAGTTTTGCCAAAAATAACATTCTAGGAAAAAATTAAATTGCCCCATTTTCATATAATCATAACATTTTCTGTGGGACTTGTGGCGTGGCAGCGACATCTATCCAGGTGATAGATAAATTTCTGGATGTGAAGTGAATTTGTTTCTCTTTGCTATTTAAAGGAACACTGTAGGGTCCCCCTCTTATCTCCCCTTAAAAGGAATTAAAACGTACCTTATTTTCAGCGCCGCACGGGTCTGCCAGTACTGGCCCCACCCCAATCCACCTCGTTGCTGACATCATCAAAATTTACGAATTTTAGCCACACGAATGCTTTCCTGGCAAGGAGGCAGGATGGGGATGGGGCCAAATGCCGGCTTGGCCAAACAGCACCTCCTCATAGAGATGCATTGGATCAATGCATCTCTATAAGGAAAATTCAGCTTCTCCATGCGGAATTGTGCAGCAATGCCCCAGGAAACAAGCACCTCCAGTGGCCATCTGATAAGTGACCTCTTGAGGTATCCCTAGAGAACAATGTAAACACTGCTTTTTTTTCCTCTGAAAAGGCAGTGTTAATTGAAAATGAAAGCAGGGGATGATTATACTCACCAAAACAACTACATTCAGCTGTAGTTGTTCTAGTGACTCTAGTGTCCCTTTAAATACTTAAACTAAAACTTTAAACCCCGCACATCTCCACTTTTTTTATATAATTAATTATGTATGTATGAATTATATATTTATGTTCTTTTATTTCCACTTCTTGTGTGCATTATATATAGTGATGTCGCGAAAGGCAGCTTCAACATGGATGCTGTCCAGGAGGTGGGAGGGTCTGGGAGGGAGGGTCTGCCGGAGATTGGCAGGGATGTGTCAGCTGACCGGAGTTCGCTGCGAACGGTTCGTGGCAAGTTCGCGACATCACTAATTATATACTATTAAAATAAAACACCTTTATAGATCTCACTGCTCCTCCCACCAGAACAGCCATGATGTGCAAGTACAAGCACAAAAAAAAATATATATATATATATATAAAAAATACAATCAGCTAACTCTTAAGTGGAATATAGCTTTACTTTGGAAATAAAAGCTCCTTTTTAATTAATGTATGCAAATATCAGTAATCTTGTGAGTAAAAACAAACAAAAGAGCGGACACAATCCAGGCACATCGTATTATGGTTTTTATTTTTGTTTAATTAAAAGCATACAGTGTTTCATTGAAACTCGAGACCTCCCCAACCCCTCAAAACAGAGACGCTGGCTTTTTCGCTATAGAAGACTAATATTTTACAGTAATATACAGGAAAATTTAACCATATGATCCATAAAACCCAAAACTGTACAATACAAATATCAATTCAGATGTTAAGTACAATCAATAAGTGAATGTAAGTAATGGGTATAATTATCTACACCTATAGACGTTTTACAAATTGCTCCACTAAATGTTCTTTGGTCTTCCTTAAAAATTGCACAAATTGACGTATGTTAAGTATAGGACTTGGTAAAGCAACAACATTTGAGCGGTTTCATGCTCACTGGTAACCATAATGCTCCAGATATGTCTGGACTACATCACCCATAATACTCACCCAGCTTTAAGGTGGACTGTGCATGATGGGAAATGTAGTTTGGAAATATCTTAGGTACCAAGATTAGAAAATACTGGAGTAGAACACTGTAAAGCTCTGAAAAACCCATAATGAAATATCCTTTGCATTCAATAGGAAATATTAAAATTGATGTTTATAGACATCTAGTAACAAATTGCGGTTCAATAAAGAGCTACTTCGCCTACATTATTCCAGTTATAACATTACACAGGAAGCCATGCAGGTTTTATGGAGCAATTTAATCGGTCTTTCTAAGAGCAAATTCCAGCAACAAAAATTAAATAAAAGTTACTTATTAAAAGGTGACTAATTAATAAAAAGAAAAAATATAGTCGCAACTTTAGCATGACCTCTCGAAGAAAATAAATTTACCAACTATATTGTGAAGTGTAAGCAGAGAGAGGTTGTCAAATAAAATTGACTGCTTCAGAAAATCTTATTCCATCACAATATATAATACGGGTGTTAGTTTAATAATAACAACAGCGAAATTTAAGATAAAATTCCCAAAATTTTGTACAAAGCCAATTCAGTTTGGAACCTTCCCCCCGCCACCCAAAAAAAAATGTTTTTATCTTAAATTTGCCCATTTGTAATTCACACAAATTGGCTCCTTCCTAGGGCCTAGTGATGAAAATGTTCTGAAATTTAGGCAGGTCAAATAATGAAATTGATAGACTATTATTTTCTTTTTAATAAAGTAAATACATTTTTTTTTAAACCCGGAAATGGTTTCCCTTTGAAAATGAGAGAAGGCAGCCTCCAGTTACATGTAACATGAATGAAAAATACATAACAAAACAAAAAAAAAATTATGTACATTTTAAATTACATTATTTTACATATTTATATATTTACAGGGATCTACTATACAAAGATCATAAATATTGAAAAATAGGTTGACTTTCAACAGTGTAATGTTCTATAAATAGCACATTAGTGTTAAATTTGCCTGTGGAAGACAATGAGGCGACAAACACAATTGATGAAATACTTCAAATTCTTAATTCCGAAATGAGATTTTTTTTTCAAGCATACTGCATTATTCCCACGTGGATTTATCAGGAGATGAGATTAAACATATTTGTTTTTGTTTTTTTAAATGCCATTATCAGTTTCATCATTAGTAAACATAGATGCTAAATATTCATACATAACTCAATGCAGAGAGCACATGCAGAATTGTGAGGAACAGTAAGTTTAACATAATGAAAAATTAGCAACAACATTAAAACCACATAGATGTTGTATGTGTGAACCTGAAAATTATAGCCGATTACAAATACATTGCTGCACCAGTTTTCCCAGTTCTACAAAATAAAAACATTTAAAGTGAAATAATCACATTATTAAAACCCTCTCTTGAAGTGAACGACAAACAGCATGGCCATACTCAGATCATGGCCTCTCCATGCTGCCTGAGGCTGTTGTAGATGTTAAACAAAGCATCTTTAGATTACTGGGCTTTGCAAAAAAAAAAGTGATATTTATTTTCAACAATACTGGTCAAAGAATGTGGGAGTATCAAACCTCACATTTGAGTAATCTATAATAAACTCCACGTAGCAAATCATATGTAGCATTCTGGTCTATACAATCAACAGTCCTGTATACACCAGTAGTCAAGGAGAAAAACCATCCTTTAGCAAACATTGCATCACCCTTTTGCTAAGCTGCTAGTTCTATATACACTTTCAATGGCTATTTGATATTGCAATCGTTCGTGGGGGATCGTCTGGCTTTTCATTTGTTTTTTGCCTACCGAAATTGTGGCAAGTGTATTATCAAAAAAGTACAAGTTTAACATCTGCTAGCAGAAAATAATTGAGTGAGGTTTAAAAATAAAGCCTCATACACTGGCATTATAAAAAAAAAAATGGTCCTCAAGTAAACCAGTATTTTATAAATTAAGATTTAAATATTGTGAAATACTGTACACGATGTAAACTGCCATGGGACTGAATAAATTAGGAATTTTACAATTTCACTTCTGTACCATGAATTGATAATAAATGATGTTTGATCGTACGAAACTTGTCACTTTTGATTTTTTTTTGCACCAATTCCCTCTTTGGGTAAGTAGAATGAGTAACATATGCTGTACACAGTCTGCAGATACTAGAGTTGTAGAAATGATGGCTAAATTCTAGAGTTCAAAGATTCGAACATTAGACACATATTACTAAACTCATCTTCAGTACCAAAGGAAAATTAGCACTTCAGAGTCACTAAACTACAAGTTGACAGCACACTTCCAATATTGAGACCAAAAAAGCAAAGTCGGAATTTTTTAAATCAGTCAAGTTGGCGACTTGGGTCCAATTTTGCCATTTTAGCCTATTTTGTAAAGTTGACAGTCAACCTTCTATTAACTCCTTTAAACCCTTAGTTGTGATATCTACTTAGAAAATGATCATTACAGAACATTCCCCCAACCAACACCAAACATTAGCCTCCATAAATAATGCCATTACATTACATTATCAATGTTGTAGTCCGTCTTCATTTTGTAGGAGACATTTCTGGTGTTATACTGTCCACTTATTTAAGTGACGAAAAATAATTACCAAAAAAATACTGATTAAGGTTTTTACAGATACTGTAATAAAACCAGCTATGCTTTGCTTTAAAAAAATAAATACAAGCACAGTTTTTAGATCGTATTCTTCTCAAGTGTTTGTTAGATAATTTTTGGTACAAAAAGGCCAATTTGACCTTCTCCCCACATACAAGTTAACACTTTTGTGTATCGGTGTGTTTTCACATGAAATGGTTCCTGTAGGCACATTCAAGTAATAAACATGTGAAATTGCAAGTAACAGTAAGTGAGAATAGCCAAATATATGGCTTGATAAAAGTTTAGATATTTTTGTCCATTCTCCAGAATGGAATAAAATGACTTCCTTCAGTAAAAACCTTTGAATATAAGGTGGTAACGTCTTTGTTTTTTTTTTTTTTTATAGAACCAGTTTCTGAATATTTCTTTTGTTCTATATATAAAAAAAATTAAATAAAAGTTGGTATCTTGAAGGAAGTGGAAATGCAAACAATGGCCAATACTCTCTCAGTAGGTGGCTTGTGAGTATTTATCCACTTTCAAGCAACGTGCTCAGTATTGACTCTCTTAGTGGCCATCGGATGTAGCATTGTGGACCCAATCCATGATGATCAGTGTCATACTTCCGATCATGACAATAAATCCACTGACAAGAAACAGCATGGCCTAGAAAGACAGAAAAAGAAACAAAAGACATGTTAAAAGCATTTCCAAAAGGAGGAAGAAAGAAGAAAAAACAAAACAATACAAACAGTAGCTAGATATGTGACAATATGTGCATTCAAGATCATGAACCCACCCATGAACTTTTTGATGGGCGAAATGACTATTTTGATATTACGTGTAAGGTTTACACCACTCTGTTACTGAGGATTGGTGATTAGAATGCTACAGAATCGAATGAAAAAGGTATTGCTGAGGATCCAGTAGTCACTTTTTTTTTTTTTACAAATGAGATTTTGAGGTCTACCTCTCAATGCCACCAATGAGCTTGGCACTGTATTTTTTTCATAGCACCACACTTGTGGAGGCAGTGTAAATGTACTTAACCTCCATAACCTGAGGTTTAGGTATCATGTTAAGGATTATTTAAGTAAACCAAGCTTTTTACCAATCTTTACATGTAAAAACGGTTAACAAAAGATATAAGCGACTCAGTAACTAGACAGCTACGTGGAAAAGGGTCACAGTTGAATGCCTTAAATATAAACATACCCCGATCTTTTGAACTGATTTCATGGATTCTTTCTTCACCAGTTTTATGTAAAACGCTGACGGAAGAATAAACACCAGCATTGCAGCAGCAGAGGCACCTTTTGGAGAACAAATAAAAAAAAACTTAACATTTCGCAATTCTTCAACACTGAATACATTGTACATTCAAGAGACAAAACTACAAAAGAACAGGGCAGCCAGAGCATGCTTGATATGGAAGATTACAAAATATTAAGTCCCCAAATGTACACAGTAATTCAATATCTTTACCCATATACTTGCCCCCCAACCCCCACCCCCTTATTGCAGGCACATCTTTCCGTTATACAATCGTCTTTTTTATTTTTCATGTATCTGGATTCTTCATAGTTTATTTAAGCCATGAAAGCAGCAGCAAGTCTGCGCCAAGTGAAAACATTCTATTTTTGTGCCCAAGAGTTTTAAGAGCACCACCAAAAACAAACATTTCTTCAAACTACCACATAATTAACTTACCAATGAATCCGAAAATATCCCTTATAGTAGGGACAAAAATGACGAGGACGTTGGTGAAAGACAAGATCAAGAATGTTATAAGACAGTGACGCCACATGGCAAATTCTCGCCCTGAAAACAGGAGCTCTGTGATGGAACTGCGAATCTGAAAAGAAGCAATTCAGCTGTTAGGACAGTGGGATTTAACACATCTCTAACACAGGAAGCTGATTATATATATAGATATATATATAGATATATATAGATATATATAGATATATATGGAGAGAGAGAGAGAGAGAGAGAGAGAGAGAGAGAGAGAAAGAGAGAGAAGGAGAAAGAGAGAGAGAAGGAGAAAGAGAGAGGGGAGAGAAGAGAGGGAGGAGAGGGAGGGGAGAGGAAAGAGACAGAGGGAGAGACAGAGAGAGAGAGGGAGAGAGACAGAGGGGGAGAGAGACAGAGGGGAGGAAAGAGAGGGAGAGAGAGAGAGAGAGAGAGAGGAGGAAAGAGAGGGAGAGGGGGAGAGAGAGAGAGAGGGGGAAGAGAGGGAGAGTACAGGTTGAGGATGCAGTATATGTATTTGGTGAACTCAGGGAGGCCAAAGACAAAATACACTTTATGATAAATAAGGCGGCACGCCCCAAATAAACCAGTATAAAATGTATAGGTTAACAGATATACTTACTGGAAACACTACAATCGGCACGGTTAAGGTGACTGCCACAAGAACTGCCAAACGTACAACGATAAATATTACTCCGGCTCCTACAACCTTTGAGTATGTATGGAGTAACTCTGGCTCAACATTTCCTGAAATATATACATTTTTTATTTAGAAAGGCATTACTTTTTCAATGGGACAAGTCTAAGTATACATATATAAGCAGTATAATTTTTTATTTATATATTATAAATCCATAGGTAAATTTGACAGCACTTTGTAGTACCTCATTGAGTGCTCAAGGGGAGCCTACATTTTAGTCCCATATAAAAAACAAAGAAAAGAAAAGAAACTATACTGATGAAGGCTGGTTTAGTCGCTGAGGGGCCAATAGGAAACAAAGGAAGGAGATTGAAGGTGTAAAGGTAAGGTTATTGACTAAGGCTGTAAAATAAAGATACTTTAAACTTTAAAAAGACTTACCGTAAAATGTCAAATATCCAAACAGTGCAGCCAACAGATACATGAGAAACATGGCAAAAAAGGACACATTGGAAACATTCATCATCCTTTTGCGGCTCCGACTAAAAAAATAAATACGTTGAAAAAAATACAACTATTAGTTATTCTGAAGACAATATGCAGCGTGCATTAAGCAAATGTCCTTCTGTTCGAAAACATGTGAAGCTCAACTTACTCTTTAAGTTCTTGATAAATGGGAAGAACGGCCGGATGGCAGACAAAGGAGAATGTCAGAATGGGCACAGCATACACAGTCTGGAATGATAGAACACAATCCATGGTAAGTAAGTGAAGCAGTATCAGAAAGTATCACATGTCACTATTGCATTGATTCACCCAATGTATAGATGGCAGCTAATTCTCTTAGTATTGTATATAACATTTAAGTATGTACTATCTTTTGGGTGTTCTGGCACATATGTCATATATATTATTTAAACGATTATTATCTCTATCTAGAGAGGGGAATATAGATTCTGCTCGTCTTGTGGCAAAGAAGAATATTGTTCGATAGATTACCTGAGAGTTGAACACAAAATATTTTGGTGTGCACATATCATCAGTTTCGTTGTGTTCCACTTCGTGTGTCGGTGCATGAGTGACTAAGGCAGACAATGTGTTGTTTAGAGTTATATTCAGCTCATCGTGGTATCCCCAGTCTGGGCACATGATCTGAAATTTCTTGTAGATCACCTACAAAACATAAAATACACATAAAAATTAAAATAATAATAATTAAACCAGGTAAAAACTTAGTTGCAAAGTATATTTTAGGATGTAGAATTTCTGTTGTAAAAAAAAATAAAAAATGTTTTATTTGATTCACTTAAGGAAGAAAGAAAAATATATACTTACAACAATGAGAAAGAAGACCATGCACATCAAGGAGAGGCCGCTAGTGTAGCCCAAGTATCCTGAGAGAAGAATAAAAAAAAAAAAAAAAAGTTTAGAACTCAGATAATGAAAAACAAATTGTTTACAGCAAATTTATGCAGATTAGGGTAAAATAAAAGTTTAAAAGATGGAAGTATAAGGACAAACTTACCTAGATTTCTCAAAAGCGACAAAGGTAGGATGAGAAAAAACGAAACCAAAACAACCAGGTAATCTCCATTTAAATACCATGCTCTATAAGATAAAGAGAAAATATATATGTAAAAATACAAATTATAATGAAATGAAGAGTCTATTATAATCTGTGGCTATAATCTGTGTTATAAGAGAGCTTATTTGTTGAAGGATTGCTGCAAAATATTACATATTTGACATTGATGTCCAACATATTTTGATGCTGTATCACAAAGTAGGCGGTTTGCTTACAAGCTTCCCCACCACCATTCTGCTAATTGCATAGAACTGCAATAACTTGTACATGTATCCAAAAAATATAAATATATAAGAAAAAAAGATTTCATTAAACCAATCTACTTCTACAACTTACAACATAGACATAGAAACAGAACAAGGCCTATACACTAGGCACACAGGATATCACAAAAAGTGATCTGTACTTGCATGACGCAACTAACAGAACTGCTTCTGTCACTGTGTCAAAGTAAATATTTGTCTTAATTTTGTCAGAATGACCTTGTGTGCAGCCAAATAAAGTCTGTCTTATGAAACTCAACAGTGCAGTTGATTCATGTTTAACCTATTCAGTAAAATATCAGGGAAAAAGTGGCCAACTGTTGCTGCTAACTGTACTGCTAACTTAACAGTTGCTGCTAACTGAACAGAATTGAGTAAAGTAAAAATGTAATCTTTACTATATACAGATATCTAAAGATTTTAATTTTTGTAGAAGAGTTTTTTAAAGCTATGATCAATATAAAAAAAAAAAAAAAGAAAACAAATAATATTTTTTTTTCTGTTTAATAGATTAAAGGTTAGAAAAAATTGCTTTGTCAGAGGCTAAAATGCACTGGTACTTAAAATGCATGCCAATTTATTCCTGAACAGGGTGGCGCTGTTTTTTAATTGTGACGCACGCTGCCCCAGGGAAGAGAAACCGTTTTACATGCTAATAGGGTTTCACTCTATTATATAAGAGTCATCCTATCTTACATGCCCCATGCTGATTTTAGATCAATATGGATATTGTAAAACGCTGAAGAATACGTTGGCGCTTTATTTAAATCTATAATAATAATGAAGATATCTGCTGTAAAAGGAAAGTATTTTAAGTATTTGTCTGCTGATCCTGATTGGCTGGTTGCTGACTGATGCTATCAGCAGCTGCCTCGGGCAGCATGTATCAAACAACTTGTATCGACAAAACACTACAAAGAACCCTCATCCACTCCGAAACCTGTTTCACACTGCTCAGGTGACAGCAGGAGTTAATCTGTTGCTTCTATCAAAGACGCTAACGTTAAAAAAAAAAAAAAAAAATTAAAGGAATAATTACATTTAATATCAAACGAAAGTCACCTACCCTTCCACGGCACTGCTTCCCATCAGCTCCTTTATCACAAGAGGCAATTCATATTTCACTATATAGAGGTAGCTTGACATAGCTGCAAAAATGGGAACATAAAATGTTTAGGCATGGCACATTAAATGGGAATGATTTATTGATCGCAAAGATCTATAAAGTACGGAGAGGGGGCGAATGTTATTTTTTTGATGGGCATTTAATCTTCAGCTGTAAAATCTGGGATTTATTCACTGAAAACAGAATTGTAGTCAATTCAAATCTGGATTGCAAAGTTCCTGTTTAATTAGTTGATGCGGACAAATGATCGAATGCATTACGATTCAGTGTTCAGTGGATAAACCCTATGCAGCAAGTAAATATTGCCCGAGTCTTCAAGTAAAATCTAAATACACGTTGACGTACTATAGTGTCATTTAAAACAAACAAAGAATAATTAATACACACCTCCAATATTCTGCATTGTAACAGATCCAGATGCAGCACATTTTCCAAAAAAACCAAAAGCCTTAAATCCAAGCTGCTCATATAACAAAGAACCTAGAAAACATAACGTAACACAATTTTAACATTTTTCCTGCATCAACATTTTTTTTTGCAGCAATATGCAATTTTCTTCCTCTACAATAATTACCTCCTTCCTTTGCAGTCTTTAGTAGTAAATGAATGGAATACAGAGAAAATATTGCAACAAACACCAGGAGAATCCTACAGGTAAAAGAATAACAAAAGACAAGTTAAAAGCGATAATCATCAGATTTGAAACCTGGCTGTGCAATGGCAGCCCCCTAACTGTACTATATGGATACTATTCTCTCTCCCAGCTTAGAAAAGGCGTTACTACAGCAACTGTTACCTATTCAAAAGATCTCACAATCCGCCATACAAAGAATTGGCATATAAGCAAGCTGGCAAAATATTCAACATTGTAGCAATCTATTTCAAGTCGATACTGCATACAATAGATAATCACAATGTGCTTGACTGCCAATTATGGCCTCGATTTACTATTGATGGATAAACTTTCCTAATGGTGTAATATTTTTGGGTTAACTCTTGGATTAATATTATGAAAAATATTTTAATTTTGTAATATTTTGATAACTTTTGAAATATTTGATATATATATATATATATATATTTTATATTTTTGATATTTTAATATTTTGGAAAGAAATCATTTAAAAAAAGTTTATTCAAAACATATTAACTTAAAGCTTATTTTGGTTAATAAAAAATATATATATTACTCAAAATTGTCTTTAAGTAGAACTTATCAATTCTTGTAATAGTTTTATCAATATGAAGTTGCCAAAGCTCATGGCAAGTTAATCGATGCAGACTAAAATTGTTATCATGGGTAACAGAATTCAAAGCTAGAGTGTTAATATTGCCCGGCTACAATTTGGCTGAGTCTTTATTTTTTACTTTTAACAAAAGGATTGAACATTTTTATCACAAGTATGGGTTTCTATTAAAAATGTTTATATGACTACAGCCAAGCTTTATGTGGGTGTTCAACGAAGTCTTGTTATGCAAGCAATGCCCAAACATGCAATTTACTTAAAGAGATCGCGTGAGAAGAGATGGCTAATCACACTTGTCATGCTGACACAAGCAAACCATCTGAGCAATTTCACTGAGTTGCTGCATTAAGCATTGACATTATTTGTGAACGATAATAAAGGATATATTACTGTGACAAGAAAGTGAGACTTATTATGACTATCACAATTTAAATAAAATCTAAATAGGCGCAAAGATGCGTTTATTTTTTTATGATTTAAAGACTTTTTGATTATCTTTTAGACGTTTTGAGCACCAAGCATGTATGCATCAGATAGGTTGGGGTGAAAATGAGGGGTATTCTGCCCCTAGTGTTCAATTAGTGAAAACGTGTGTTATAAATATATAAATAGCCATGGCAATGTCTAGACTCGGAAACGGTTAACACATTGTCTGAATGTATAAATCACATTAAGCAATCACTCGCTCTACACACGTATTTAATTGTTTAAAGTCTGATCGCTAAATGAAAATCATGATTATTTAATTTCCACATTACTTGTGACATAAAACAATATCCTAATTACAGCAACACTTACATAAAGAGTGCAATTCCTGTGTTGGCCATGGCATATGACAAACCAAGAATGCCACTACCCACGATGGCATTGCTGAGATTAAATACGGACATTCCAAACGAGGTGGTCCCTGGAATCTATGAAGAGTAAAAAAAATTTTTTTTTTAAAATAATATGAAAACAATTAAAATGAAAATCAAGAATTTTATGCATAAAAAAAAAGAAAAACCATGTTAAAAATCATGAAATTAAAAAATATACTTACGTATGCTGGTTCATATTTCTTTTTTGCCAGAGTTGGCTCAAGAAGAAAATTTTGGTTTTCTGGATCCGTATCATAAGGGCCGCTAATAAAAATAAATAAATAAAATAAATTAGATCATATTAACACAGCTGTGTTGCATAATTAGACATTTCATGTATTTCTGAGATCAACCACATGGAGTAATATAACCACAGTGTACACCATATGAAGGATGACTTAATTATGCCATATAATTAAAATTACCAATTAATTCATAACCTTCTAAAGAGATGGCATTTCATAAGACGCATGTAAATCAACTGAATATCTTACCCATTAATAGTCAATTTCTTTACTGGAAAGTCCGAATAGAGGAAATCTTCATTGCTGTTCGAACTATTGCTAATACTGTCCTCATCTGGAGAAATGTTAAATCTTCCCATCTCGGCTTTGGTCATTTTGACAATCGAATTAATTTCGGTAGCCGGGTGCCTTGTGTTATAACAAGAGGTTCTTGTAGGATACTGTAACCACTGGTGCAGCTGAGGTCAGTGATGGTGTGGTTGCTGCGCTTCGACTCTGCAAGGAAAGATGAAACGTCAATACTGCAGTGTGCGACTGGACCATGTGACAACATTATGATCACGAGAAGCAGAAGAGAGAGAGGGGGGGAGAAGGGGGGAGACAGGGAGAGAGTGGAAAAGTACTAGCTGTTCTTCACAATCAAGCAGTAAATTCCAAGCAGCAATGGACCGCCTCAATGCCTCACCCACTCACCCCCCTTGTTCCCTCTTTCTCCACCCTCACTTCAAACAGCATTCCAGGGACATGAGTAGTCATTTAACCATGTGAATGCCATAATTAAGTGCACACCAGACTGGCGCCTAAAGGGTCAGATTCTTAAAAGAAAAAGGGCAATTTTTTCAGCTCCCAAAAGCAAAAAAAAAATAAAAATGATGCAACTCAACATTCCAAAACAGAATTACCATTACTAGAATTACACAGTAATGCCTAGACAATGCCCAATCTTAGAATTGCAAATGCTCAATGATAAACTATATTGAATGATACCAACAACTTTCATTGTTTACATAATAAAAGAAACATAAACAAACGCCTGGAAATTGCAGTATAAATGAGGCGTAAACGTTTCCAAATGATGGCTACCATTTCACATGTTAAATGGTTAAAAATGCAACGCAACACAAATCTACATAAATCTGTAGGGGAACCTTTTGCACAAAATAACTGCATTATTTATTTTAATATAGATCGAAATATACGAATGCACATTTTAGGGAATCGTTAAAACGCCATTTATAAGATTTAAAATGTAAAACAGATGAATAAATAAATTATGAATAAGTAATTCAAAAATAATTCATAGGGCAACGGATTCAAACTGAGCATTTTGATGAAAAAAAATATACAAAAGGGATAGACTTACTGGATAAGTAAGGTCTAGTCTAACCAGCCTATAATCGAGCGCAAAAATATGCCCTTGTGTCTAGAAAATTCTTCATAAAGGGTGGGGATTTAGCCGGCAGGACCACACGAAAAATTTTTACTATTACATCCAGTGCAGTACTTCATAGAAACAGGCCAAGGTATTATATAGCCACTCCCTATTCTTCCCACCCACCCTCCCCTGTTCAACAGAAGGAGGAGAATCTGATGCAACAGCTACTGAGGATTGAAGCAGCATTTTGCCAGTCCATGCTTATTTAGGGTTCACTCAATCGCCAATACAAGTAAAGACCCAACCACACAACAGCTGTGTCTTACACTGAGTACACTCAGCTAATGCATGAAACTTCACCCAGTCAACAGCTAAAGTCCTTAATTTCATTCTACCAGTCTAACCAAAATCGTCCATCAACCCAAAGCGGATATGGATCAGTTTACAAATTGAACCCATTTAGCAGTAGTGATAGAAAATGCAGATTAGGTTTTAAAGGCGAAGACTATTCAACAAAACCAACCAACCTTTGCCAACCAAAAAAAAAAAGATAAAAAATACATTATGCTAGGGCCATGTCAGACAAATGACTGATCAGAGCACTAGATCTCGCACAATGAAGGCCATTTTGCCTGTAGCAATGACAACACACACACACACACACACACACACACACACACACATGCAGACCTCTTTGGCAACATTTAAATGACATTTGGGGCCATAATTATCAAGGCAGAATAGGACCAATCCTAGGGCATCCTGTTAACTGATGAGACACATTCTATTGTTTCCATGGTGACTGCACCTTATTTAGCACTTTGCCACAAAGTAGCATATTTTAACCTTGATAAATATGGCCACACATTTATTTAATATGCACACGTTACTTAAAGAAACCAAATATATTCCCTGATGCGTAACGGAGTATCTTTTTTTTTTTTGCCGGCTTGCTTCCTTCCAGAGGAAATATATATATACACAAATTCTTCAGCCATCATTTTCCATCACATCCCACCCACACACTGTGTACCAGACAGCCATACACTGCGCACACATACTGAATACATTATATGCACATACACAATACAAAATCATAATAAAAAAAATAAACAAACAATCACACACACACACAATAAAAAAATTAAAAATGCACACACCATATAAAATACAATATACACACAGTACACAAATTCCTTCTGTGACAGCTCCCTATATAACATACAATATATAATCTTATTTAATGTGTATTAAAGTCATTGTGTTACCTGAATGAGAGGACCTGCTGCCAATGGGGACACACAAAAACTGGAGGCAAATAATCACTTAAAACGCGTGTAGAGAGCAGGAGCTGTATAAATAACACCATAAAATATAGGAAATAAATAAAATGAGATTAAATGAAGCCGGACAGTGATAGACACAATGTATCAGTTCAGCTCCTCACACAGCGTCGGTAGCTCAGCGACTGGAACCCAGCGAGGGGATACACAGCCTTATTAGGGAGCGCAGGGGGCGGGGTCAAACAGAAGAAAGGGGCTGAGCACTCAGATTAGAACAGGACTGAATGGCAGGGGGCGTGGCCCATGTAACTGTATCACCCCTAGCGGCATCGTGGCTTCTTTGATTACCAACACAGGAAGCCACGCCCCCAGCTTTTGTACAAGTTCCACGTCGAATCCCCCCGCCCACTCTCTGGATCAGGTTCAGGTCAAGGCTGCCCTGTGTGTGTCTGTGGGATCCCTGCTTGCTGTGTGTTGCAGCCTCTGCCCACTGCTAGCACTTGGGACTCTGCAGAAATGGACATTTTAAGGCACACACATAAAAATATATATTTACATTAGAAGTTTTTTTATTTTTGTTTCTCAGTGTTGTGTGTCTGTGTTCTAGAACGTTCAGTTGTTTCCCAATTCCCAGCTTAGTGAATAACCAATCAGAAGTCACACAGTGTTTGTTGGGAGTTGCACTTCATTCTCAGTCATAATCCTGTCATCCTGTTCACATTCTGCCCTTTGTTAGAGATGTAATGTGATGAACTCAGTGAACTGGAATCTCAATTGGGCAGTTTAAGAAGCGATCTGGAGAAAAGTTAATTAGATCAGCTATTGTCACAAATTTATTTTAGCATAAAGTTTATAATTAGCTTTTTAAGAAAAAAAAAGAAAAAAGAATTCTAATCTAGGCTAAAACATTAATTGAACGCAACATTTAACATATAAAAATAGATGTGTACATTATTATTATTATTTTATTTTTTGGAAAAAAAAAAACCCCTAAACAAACAAAAACCTATCCTGAGCTCCTACCATAATTCCTTGTCGTAGCTGCCCAACCTATTTCTTCAGAAGCATTAGATTTGTGGACCATGGGGACAGTCAGGCTGTGTTCACACAATGCTTCTCTGAGAGCATTTATTATCATTATCATCATCATTTATATAGCGCCAACAGATTCCGTAGCGCTTTACAATATTTTGAGAGGGGGGATGTAACAATAAATAGTACAAATTTGGAGGCATCATACTTTGCATGCTGAATACTGGATAGAGAATTATATACAAATATTGAATCTCTTTCCTTTGGAATCTTATAGTATGGCTCCTTGATTGGACTGAAAAAATAATGTGTGCAATTTCTAAGAAACAGCTCTGTTTATAATCATAAGGCAGCAGGGACATCATCTACGCGCCAAAACCACTTCATTAAGATTAAGTGATTTGGTTGCTTATACTGGACTTTTATATCAATAGAATTAAGGGATAAACCCCTTAGATTCTCAGCTTGTGTCTCCTCGGTACTGGAAGCTCACACAGTGCTAGCAATAGCACAATGAATGGAACGTGAATTAGATTGTTTGAAGGATTTTCATTCCCATGATACAGTTATTCATTAACTGAATTTTACCGACACCCCTGATCTTACTGCCCAACTTGTCCAAATAGCGCTCAGATCCTTTTCAAAGTTCAGCCAAACCCACCAGACCCGAACATCCGGGTGTCCGCTCAACTCTAGTCGCCACCATTCATATAGCCCAATGCCACGTGGTGAAGAAAACAGCAGTTTAGCACCAAAACAATTAGAATGTTTACAATTGCGCAGTCAGCACACTATTTGACATTTCTATTTGACTCTCAGATATGAAGTGTACCCAACTAAAATACTATTTAGCAGTTTAGGACCCAAAAAATTTTAAGCTTTAAAACTGCAACGTGACAGCAGTATTTGATGATTCTATTTGACTCTCAGATATTAAGTCCACCCCACTAATGTACTAGTTTGCAGAATTCTTTCCTAATCTGTCCCTATCAGCGGCAGCATCCTGTCCTCTAATAAGACCTCATGTGAGTGCGGCGCTATGCGACTCCAGCTTATATATAGAGGCTGGGTCACATGCTGCACTGGCCAATCACAGCCATGCCATTAGTAGGCATGGCTGTGATGGCTTCTAAGGGCACACGAGTCAAACGCTTGTTGATTGGCTGCCCTGCAGCCTTTGAAAATGCGCCATTAAATCACCGAACACCGAACTCCAACCTGAACATACAGTGATATGTCCATGTTTGGGTCCTGGGTCCAAAAAACCTAAGGTTTGGTATGAACGCAAACTTTACAGTTCGTGTTCGCTCAACCCTACTTGGGATTACTCCAGTAAAGGGGCCCCTCACTGGAGTTATACGGACAATTTCTTGGAACCTGCATATTTTATACATTTTATTGTTGTTGTTTTTTAAAATTATATGTTTTATATAATTTTTACCTACAGCTGAGCTGGGTGTTGTGTCCTATTGATTCCCTAGTTGCATGTATCAAGGTTACTTTGTAACAATTTGCAAGTTACACTGTGTATTACCAATATGCAGTTTGGTTGATCAAGCTGCTGTTTATATTTAGTCATATAGTTGGACAACAACACACCCGGTGGTTCTCACATATTTATTTTATTCTTTTATTTTTTTAAAAGTAATGTATTGCTGTAGTTGAGATTATTAGATCTCTCTGTGCTGGAACTATTCTTGAGTTTTTTGGAGCACTCACACGTATATTTTTCTCTTGTTACATCAAAGCACTATCACTTTAATTGTTTATTTTCGACACTGCATATTTTGAATTGTGTTTATCACATTCATTTTACATTATATACATTCACAATGCTCTGACAATGGATTATTAAAATAAACCTTTGCTTATTTAGCACTATTTAATTTTATCTCTGTGACGGACCACCTGGCACCCCGACTGGGTACCTCCGCCAATCGATGCTTCCTAGTTGACGCTGAGGATCATAATCACCGCACCGGACACCATAAGCACTGTAGACCCCCTGAACCGCTGCATCTTGGTTGGGGTCTTACCGTCCCTTCCCCTCCTGGACCAAACTACTGGATACAGTGAAGGCCTCTCCTCCAAGAGAGTGTAGCTGTGAAGCTCTTATAAGAGCTAGTGATATACCTGTGAAGCAGGTTCCCTACAGTCACTAGATGAGACTACGTGTTGAGGGTTAAGCAGGAATCGTTTAATGGTTCCCACACTGGCCTTTTATGCATGTCCCCATGCAAGGGTGACACCCACATGGACCTTGTTGGGGACAGGAAAAAACAAAAAAACAAGAAGGAGGGTGCAATGCCTGGTATTGAAAAATGGAATACTAAAGTAGAATATATCTATAATAAAACATAACTTTTAATAAATGTGCTAATAACTAAAAAGTCCCATAGGGACAGATGGGACAGACTATAACATTAAACTATAGTACTATGAACACAAATACAAAGACATGAAATTAAAACAACTAAAGCTGTTCCACTACTGCAGATATAGTGGTAGGTGCCCCTAATAAATGTGATTTGGAATCGCTCAATGTAGTCAAATTGTCTGTATGGTTACAGAGTGACAATTTAAAATTTATTATTAATAGGAGCACATTTGGTTATTGGTATTGAATGACTATAGCTATACTATGGCACCTGATGGATATTCAGACCAGTGTCTTAATGATAACAATGTGATCATGTGTTACCTCAAGCAAATTGCTCACAATTTATCTTCACAGATAAATTGTGTGTAGTATTGAATGTAAAGTAATGAACAGGCATGTATCCAGTAATGATACAGTTGTATCAATAGCAACTCCTGTTAATAAAAAATGTAACAGAATTGATAGAATGCCTATCGCTAGAAACAAAGTTTGATAACCCCCTTCAATAATGATAGGTGCTGTATGAGATGGGAGGTGAGGAAAAATGATATGAGTGTAGCCAGGGGGGTTGGGGGGGCGGGAGACAACAAGTGACCACAGGTAAAATAACTTTCCCTATTGTACCCTTACCCCTAGAAACAGCCCTAGCCTATAGTACAATACACAAATTCCCACCCGCTCGTTTAAAAGGAGGCAAAAAGCAGAGTATCAGGTTGTCAACACACTATTATAGCAATAAAGGTGCCTAGCTGGAACTAATCAAAAATTATTAATTATTAATTAATCCTGCATAATGAACAGAGTGGACACAGCGATGCCCCAGGACCCCTGACACATGTTGTTGGGGACAGGGACACAAACCGACAAACTAATAAGAACAGTGATTAAATGCATGACACTCCCACATATAATAAAATAAGTCTTCCCCTTTACTTAGGAGGTAATTGAGTCAAGCGCTATACTGAACTCTATTATCTCCAAACACAAAAAAACACAAATTTTTAAAAAGTCCCAAATGTACCACAAAACACATTACATCCCCACAAATGTTACATCCCCTGATAGCCCTGATGGGTGAGCAACATATCCAAAAATCACCCAGATCAGTTCACTGGTTCAGAAATTTTATGGAAGTCATATTTTTTTACCGACCGCAGGCATGGTCCCATAGCCCAAAATAGTTCCATAGAATAACGGCTAAGTGCAGTTGGAGGACCGACCGGGAACCACAAGGTTTTCATGCCGAAAATAGTTCCAGGACATTG